GAGAAGGAGAGGAGGAGGAGGAAAAGAAGGAGAGAAGAAGGAGAAGATAATGACCCAACACTATCATATCTTTGGCCCTTGACTTTCTCCTTGACTTACAACTACAATCCAGCCCAAAATTTCTGTCGTTAAGCGAGACAACTGTTAACTGAGTTTGGCTTCACAGTTAAGACTCGGGAGGGAAGAGGTTCTCGGCCTCTTGAAGGTCTTAAGGAGCCCCCAAACGAAGGGAAATGGAGACCCCTCCCCTCGGTCTCCTCCCTCCTCCCTCCCGCTGCCCCCTTCCCCGCCCCCCCCCCTGCCGCCCCCCCCCCCTCCCTCCCCCCCCCCTTTTTTTTTCTGAAACAGGCTTTGTGGAGGAAAAAACTTGCACCAGCACCCAAAACAGAGTCTGCTGGTGTCCCCGGGGCCACTTCTGCAGCTCGCTGGTCTCCGGGAAATGCTACCACTGCCAGCCGTACCGGAAGTGCGAGATGGGCTACGGAGTGCTGCAGCCGGGTAGGTTGGGAGGCCCGGCTGGTGCCCATCGGAAGACGGGGAGGAGGAGGAGGAGGAAGAGGAAGGAGGATTGTGAGGTCCTTGGTGCTCTCTGAGCCTGGCTCTTTCCTTGCAAACGTCTCATGACCCAGCTAGGTAGCAGCATCAGGGCCAGGAATGATGAGGATGTTACCTGGTTTGGATCACGAAACACCAGCAAGAAAGCAGGCTCGGAGAGCAAAGATATTGGACGAAAACCTCGCAGGGCGATGAAATGTTGTGCATGGCCTCCCAGATTCACACAACACCGCCAGGGTCGGGACGCACAAAAGCTTATCGACGGGAAAAGGAAGTTTACACAAAGTCAGGAAAAAGCAGGGGGATTTTGGCACAAAGACGGTGGGACGTTAGCCATGCAGACGCTTTAGAAATGTTGCATTTCCAAAGAAGGAGCTGGATTGGATGAGATGGATTTTCAGCTCGTATGCAGGTGGTCCGGTGCATTGGAAAGAGCCAGGTAGGAATAGCATGATCCATAAACTTCCACAGAAACTTTGTCATTTATTAAAAACATTAATTTTCAGGTGTAGCCCCTAAATGCTCTGAGGGTCATTTGGAAAAGTCCTTTTTTTAGGGAGCCCCTGGAAGCCAAGAGGAACATATGGGCCCAATTTCAAGTTTTTAGGCTTTACGGTTCTGGAGATTTTGTGAGGATGCGTGAGGGGAATTTCGCTTTTATATAGATAGATAAAACAAGTTGAGAGCTACCTGTAGAGGGGGGAAGGCTGGGAACATGTGAAGTAGGAGGCTGTTGTGTTGCCATTTCTCATTTATTTATTTTTTAATGTTGTGTGTTCTTGATTTCCTCACATTGTTGTGTTTCCAAAGAGACGGGCATTTGTGGACAGGAACGGGGGTTCCAAAGTGTCTGTCTAAACTTTTAAAGCCATTTCCTCTCCTTTCTCTTTGCACTTCTCTGGCCGTGGCCACGCTTTTCATAATTTCTCATTTCTTTGCAGGCACAAGAGAAACGGATGTGGAATGTGCCCCATGCCAACCGGGCACATTTTCCGATCACGAATCACACCAGAATGTCTGCACCCCTCACAGGACGTAAGTTTGTGGTTGTGTTGTTTATACAGAGCTTTGGGGAAAGGGAGCCGGCTTTTAAAACCCTGGCAGGAAAGAAAAACCACAATAGGCGTCCAAGCTATAAAATTATTTATTATTATATAGGATAGGATAGGATAGGATAGGATAATAATAGAATAGAAAATAGAATAGAAAAGAGAATAGAATAGAGAATAGAATAGAATATAGAAAATCAAGTAGAATAGAATCTAGAATATAGAAAATAGAATAGTAGAAAAAGAATAGTAGAAAATAGAATAGAATAAAAATAGAATAGAATACAGAATTAGAATAGAATAGAAAATAGAATAGAACAGAGAATAGCATAGAGAATAGACTAAAATATAGAAAACTGACTAGAATATAGAAAATAGAATAGAATAGAAAATAGAATAGAATATAGAAAATAGAATACAGAATTAGAATAGAATAGAATATAGAATAGAATCGAATATAGAATCGAATATAGAATAGAAAATTGAATAGAATAGAAGTTCTAAAATAAAAACCCAGGGGTTGGGAAAGATGACCTCTGGATGCAATATCTGGCCTCCTTACTGGAAACTCCTCCATGCTCTTAATAACCATGAAGTCCCGTTGAACTTTCTGTGGGTAAGAAAAGTTGTGTCATAACAATGTCACATTTGCACAACAGAGACCTTGTCTGGAAAGTCCTCGAGTTAAGTTTGCTGTGGTTCACTTGTTAATTTGGGTTGTTGGTTGTTTTTCTTCTTCTCCTTACAAGATGTCAGCCCGTGCTCGTTCCTGGAAACAGCACCCACAACACCGTTTGTGGCAATCCAGGTGGGCAGGTTAACCCCAGGACAACAACTCCGCAAGTCACAACCGCTACGAAGAGGCTTCTGTGGCGCCTTGGGACCGAGAGACCAACCTCCAACCAACAGGATCCATCAGCACAGACTGGTGAGCAAGAGGGAAAGAAATTGTTGGCATTTTCCTTCTAAAGGTGGGTTTAGTTGAGAGCAGGGGGTCCCCAAACTTTGAGACTTTAAGACTTGTGGACCTCAACTCCCAGAATTCCCCAGTCAGCCATTTTAAGACTTGTGGACTTCAACTCCCAGAATTCCCCAGCCAAGTCTACATGGTCATGTGATTTACATTCAGACGCTTGACAACTGACTCGTATTTATAACGGTCGCAGCGACCTTCCGACAAGCGAAGTCAATGGGAAGCCTGTGTTTCTCATTTAACGACGGCAGGGATTCTCTTTAGAAATGCGGCGAGGCAAGTCGTAAAATAGGGCAAAACTCACTTCGCAAATGTCTCACTTAGCAACCTAGATTCTGAGCTCCCTTGTGGTCGTAAATTGAGGATTACCTGTTTTCTAGAGATACCGTAGAGATGCTGGAGGAATTAGGACAACCTGAGAGGATAGCAAAACGATGACCTCTCTCTGCTGCTCTCCGGTGGCTGTTTAGAGTTTCTACAGCTTAAACACAATATACCACAATAACCAATATTTCTCCGAAGAATTTCCACTGGTTTTATCCCAGTTTCCTGAAACAGAGGAGGCCAATGAAAGCTGCAATTTCTTAACACGGTTTGGACACCCTAACTGTGCATTTTTATCTGTTTTATGTCCAGGGCGGATTGTTGGTATGATGGCTATCCCAGTGGTCCTGGCAGCCCTCATTTGCTTCATCGTTTTTAGAAAAAATGGTAAGTTGAGGATCCAAAACAAAAGGCGTGTTATTTCGTTATTGTTACGGTTTTAAATAAAATTTAAATTTGCTCCGATTAATTGTTCCAAACAATTGATCAGTGGAACGACTTACCTCCAGGAGTTATGGGTGCTCTAACACTGGAGGTTTTTAAGAAGAGATTGGACAACCGCTTGTATGAAGTGGTAAAGGGCTTCCTGCCTGATCGGGGGGGGGGTTTGGACTAGAAGACCTCGGAGGTCCCTTCCAACTGTGTCATTCTGTTAATCTGAACTTTTTCGTAAAGTTTTAATGTTATAAAATTCTCTTTATATATATATATATATATAGCACTAAAGATCAAACAGAGAGCACCACCACCATGTGCTTTACTGCTTAACTGCTTAACGGTAACAGGAAAGTTGACTTGGAACAAAAGAACATAGAGTAGCAGATCCAAACTTGTAAATGCTGCCATCTAGTGGCTGGATGTTGTTGAAGTTGTTGTACACAAATACATTCCAACAATGAATTTTCTCTCTGGCAGGTCAAAAGTGTGTCCTCAAACGGGAGGAGAAAAAACAGGTGAGCATGGAGCTTTTTGGGGTCTATAAATCAGAATTTGGACAGCTTTCTCGTCAGAGATGCCAAAAGCGAACACTGGGCTGCCAGACCCCATTTTGGGTCTGGGGTCCTGGCAGATCGATCCACCAGTGACGTTTGGCTTCCCTGTTTCCTCCCAGCCGTTCTTGCCTGCCGAAAAGTTCCCGGTGAAGTGGCCTCAGGAGCCCGCGGCTGTGGGGCAGGAGAAGGACAGCCTCTTGCGGATGTCCCCTTCCAGTTTGGGGGACAGTCCAGCCGGGTGCGAGAAAAGCAGCGAAACCGACAACGGAGACCCTCCCAAGTTGGAAACGGACGACGTTCAACAGAGATCAGTGAACACGGAGGCGTGCAAGAGCACAGCAGATTCAAGTAAGACCCTGGGGGGGGGGGGGGGGTTTAGATTGGAGGAGGGGCATCTGTGAGTCACATCAGGCCGGGCAATCAGGTCGTTGTAAAGCCTAGGATTGTGAGGGCCTTGGAGTGCCCTGAGCTTTGTCTTGGAGACGTTTCATGGCCATACTAGGTGCTGGAAGAGAGTTGGGGTTGATGGAGTGGAGGAGGAGGAGGAGGAGGAGGAGGAAGAGGAGGAGGAGGAGGAGGAAGAAGACTGGATGTCCTTGGTGCTCTCAGAACCTGACGGTTTTCTTGCAGACGTTTCTTGAACCAAACTAGGGAACCATCATCATCAGGGCTAGAACGAACATTAGCACTGATGATGTTACCTACTTGGGTCATGAAACGTCTGCAAGAAGCCCACCAAGCTCAGAGAGCACCAAGTGCCTCTCATTTCAAAGCTGAGCTACAAATATTTCTTTTTCCTTTCTTTTTTTCTTTCTCCTTCTTTCTTTTTTCTTTCTCCCTTTTTGTTTCTGTCTCTCTCCCTCTTTTTTTTCTTTCTTTCTTTCTTTCTTTCTTTCTTTCTTTCTTTCTTTCTTTCTTTCTTTCTTTCTTCTTTCTTTCTTTCTTTCTTTCTTTCTTTCTTTTCTTTCTTTCTCTTTCTTTCTTTCTTTCTTTCTTTCTTTCTTTCTTTCTTTCTTTCTTTTTCTTTCTCCCTTTCTTATTTTCCTTCTTTCCTTTCTTCTTGCCTTCCTTCCTTCCATCTTTCAGCTCTCGCTCTTTCTCTCTCCCCCTCTTTTTATTTCTTTCTCTCTTTCTCAGTTTCTCTCTCTTTCTTTCCTTCCTTCCTTCCTTCCTTCCTTCCTTCCTTCCTTCCTTCCTTCCTTCCTTCCTTCCTTCCTATTTATAACCTTTTCCTTCCTTTTTCAGCAGGGATTGTGGCAAACGGGAAAATCCACGTCAACGTGAGCTGCGTGGTCAGCGTCTGCAATGACAGCCATTCTCCGGCCTTGAAGCCCTCAGGGGCGGCCGAAACCGGACACCCCGCAGACCCTCCCTTCTCGCAGGAAGAAACTGCCACGAGAGGAGAGTCCGGCCGGGCAGTCGCGGTGGAGGTCGAAGACAGCTCGGACTTCTTGGACCCCTGTGGGGGGAAGCCCCTCCCGCTTAGCGTCCAAGATGCCGGCATGAGAACGACGGAGGGTTTTCCAGGCAGCGACTTCCGCCTTGCTCGAGTCACTCCACAAATGACTGAGGCAGAAAAGACGTTCGCGAAGGACAAAAAAAACCTATTTAGGTAGTCCTCGACTTAATGACCATTTATTCAGTGACGGCTGATGTCGCAATGGTGCTTGGAAAGAAAAAGCGACTTGGGACAGGTCCTTGTACTTATGGCTGTCGCGGCGTTCCCCGTGGTCGCACGATCAAAACTCAGGTGCTGAAGCCATTGACTCATCTTTACAACGGTCGCCGCCTCCCAGGGTCACGCAATTCCCTCCTTTTAGCGACCTTCCGACGAGCCACAAGTCAGCGGGGGATGCCGGGATTCACTTAACGACCGTGCGACCAACCGCAGCAATTTACTTAACAACGGCAGCCAGAAAGGTCGTAAAACAGAGCCGAAGTCACTGTCTTGCTTGGCAACAGGGACATTTGGGGTCGTAAGTCCGAGGACAGCCTGTCGTTGAATTTAAGGAATAACTGTCCCCAACCCTGAGGGATGATTTGCAACCATCCTTAAAAAACAGTCTTAAAAACGCACAATTTCCACACATACCCCTCAAAATATCTCAGTTTATGGCGGTGCCAAATTTCAGACCAGCTGTAAACCTCTCTCTTTGCTGCCCCCTCATGGCGGCCCAGATTTCTGCAGTTGAAATATTCACCGCCAAGTTTTAATTTCAGGTTTTTAAAAAACTCTTTGTTGTTGTCATCTTTCCTATTTTTTGTACTCCGGCTGAATAAAATCCTATTTTGTTTGCCTGTTTCAGCTACTCACTACTTACTTTTAAAAGACCGAGTTTTCCATGGCAAAGATTGCAGAAAGCAAAGCACAGATTTTGCTTGGTGGTGGTTTTCCAAAGGCACAACGTCTTACATACACCGGCAAGGCAATTATCCTGCGTGGCCGATGATTAAATAACAGATAACAGATAATCAGAGTTGGAAGGGACCTTGTAGCTCATCTAGTCCAACCCCCTGCCCAAGCAGGAGAATCTACACCCTACATTTCAGACATGTTTCCAGGTTATCAAAAGTTGGCACAACGGTGTTGCCTTCCCGATTTCTGCAGACCAACCGAATTTGAGAAACAAATTAAAACTTTGGGACTGGATTTTGTTGTTATTTTTTTTCCCCTTGAAAATGTTTTGCTTCTCATCCAAGAAACTTCTTCAGTTCTGGACGAGAAGCAAAATGTTTTCAAGGAAAGGGAAAAACCCAAGAAAGTCCAATTTTAGGGGGGAGGAAATTAACTTTTGGAACGACCATGGTGGAGATATAACTAACTCTTAAGTATGATTCCCATTGTCTTGGGAGAGACTCACCCATATCTAAGAGGGTTAGCCTGCCTTGAAGGGTTTTGCTATGGCCAGTGTTAGTTAGCCTGTTGTAAATGCAACCAATCGTGGCTTATTGAAAAAACCATGATCAACTATGATTTGTGCACAGGTTGGTTCAGCCCCCACTGTTTTCAGGTGTGGCGAATCTTTCTGACTCCAGATGACACTGTCTGGACATCATGCCTCCCTTCGCCACCCAGGCCACGCTATTTAATAAACACCCTCCTTTTTTTTGGTTAGCTTGTCTCAGTCCCGACACTTGAAGGGTCTCCAGGTGCCTGTTCCGGCGATCCTTTTCCCCCTAGGATCTCCTGGTGGTGCTCTGTCCCAGCATAAAGCCCACTCTCTGATGTTTTACCGTGTCACATATGCAGGTGTATATATACGCATAAAGGTTATCATTTGGGAGCTGAAGGCAACGAAATTTCATTTTAATGTATGCTGATTAGTGTACATTTATAGTGACAACAAAGTTCCATTTTATATATTCTATTCTGCATTTTTCTGCATTCTATTCTATTCTATTCTACTTTATATATTCTGTACTTTTCTATTCTCTTCTATTCCATTCCATTTCAATCTATATTCGATATGTTCTACGTCCTATATTCTATATCTTATATCCTACGTTCTATATACTATGGTCTATATTCTATATACTATATTTATATCCTGTATTTTATAGTTAATATTCCATGTCCCACATTCTGTAGTTTATATTCTATATACTATAGTTATATCCTGTATTTTATAGTTCATATTCTATACCTTATATTCTATATCTTATATTCTATATTCTATAGTTCATATTCTATATCCTACATTCTATATCCTATAGTTTATATTCTATATTCTAAATACTATAGTTATATCCTACATTCTATCGTTTATATTCCTATATTCTGTGGTTTATATTCCTATATTCTATATACTATGGTCTATATTCTATATACATATCCTATATTCTATAGTTTATATTCTACATCCTATACTGTATTTCCTATAGTTTATATATAGAATATTTGTAGTTTATATAGAATATATCCTATATTCTATTTTCTGAGCATGGCTCGACAGCGACCTCTGCTGGCTCAACCTCAGCCCTTACACCACCAGAGTCGAGAGGAAGCCCCGCCCCACGCCCGCCCCGTCCCTCCGTCGTCGCCCGGGCAACCGCCTCTTCCTCTATTTCCCCCCCCCGCCACCCCCGCCCAGGAGGTCCGATCGGTCCGCTCGGCGCTCGGCCGTCGGGGCTGCGCGTCCAGGCCTCGACCTGACGCGGGGCGGGACTTCCGGCGGGGCTGCCGCCGTGCCGTGAGAAGCGTCGCAGGTGCGGAGCGGGGCCGGGGCGGGGGGCGCCGGGCGGGGGGGGGGGGGGGGGCTCCGCGGGCGGGGCGGGGGCCCGGGGGGGGAGGTGCGCTAAGCGGCCCCCCCCCGCCCTCAAAAGGCGGGGGTGACTTTTACCTCAGCTGGCGCAAAGCATGCCGGGAAAGGAAAGGGAGGGGGGAAGCGCGGAGGAGCGCCCCCGCCCCTCGCCCCCCTCAACGCCAGCCCTGCGAGGTAGGCCGGGGCCTATTTTTTTTCTTATTTTAATTGGCGATTTTAAATTAAATTAAAATAAAATAAGAGGGGGGATGTTTCTGCTGCCGCCCCCTCCCCACCAAAAAAGCTTCCCCCCCTTTTTTGTTCCTTTTTTGGTATATTCCCTTCCCCTGAAGGCAGTCCTCGACTTATGACCACAGCTGAGCCCCCCCATGGCCATTGTTAAAGAGGCTGAGTGACCTGTGTCCCCCGTTTGACAACCTTGCTCGCCACGGTCGTTAAGCGAGTCGCATGGTGGTTAAGCGAATCACTTCCGTTGTGAATGGAGTAACACGGTCGTTAAGCGAAGCAGGTTTCTCCCCCCCCCCCCCATAGGACTTTGCTGGCCAGGAGGTCGCAAAAGGGGAAAATATCACGTGACACATGCCCTGCCACCCCCACCCCCCGGGGACAGCGGCGACCGACATAAATACGAATCGGTTGCCGTTGTAAATGTGAGTCGGTCGCCAAACATTTGGAATCAATTGACCACGGGTCTGAAATGGTCATAAATACGAGTTTCCTCAAGGTTGGATCGCGGGTCTTAAGCGAATCCCTGCAAACGTTAAGCGAGTCCCACCGTCGTTAAGTGAAACCTATGGACTTGGCTGGTCGGAAGGTCGCAAAAGGGGATCGCATGACCCTCCCCTCCGGACACCGTCATAAATATAAGTGCCTGGGTTTTGACTATGGGGATGCCGCGGTGGTCGTAAGTGTGAAAAACGGTCCTAAGTCCCTTGTTTCAGTGCCGTCGTAACTTTGAACTGTCACTAGATGAAGCCGTTGTAAGTCGAGAACTGCCTGGAGGAATAAAGTTGTCGCTGGGCCGGGAAAGTGGGGGAATGGGAGAATAATAAGTATAAATAAGAAATGATAAAAGGACTTATTGATTCCTAATTCTTGGTGTCTTCCAACAACCCTGCAATGTCGGCCAGGAGCATCATTTTTTTTTCCCCTCCTCGGGTTTGTTCCTATTTCTGCCTCCTAAATTTTCTTTTTCTTGGTTTAAAAGGAGAAAAACAAACACAAACAAACAAACAAACAAAAAAACACCTGGGGTTGGACTAGATGACCTACAGGGTCCCTTCCACCTCTGCAAATCTGTTTTAGGATCTGTTCATTGTTTCATTGCCACTACAGGCGACCCTTGAGTTGGCAACCGTTCGTTTAGTGGCCATGGGAAGAAAAGAGCGACGTAGGACCGGTGTTGTTTTTTCACACTTAATGACCGGTGCAACATCCCCCTTGGCAACCGACTCGTCTTTATGACGGTCGCAGCATCTCCCGGGGTGGTGAGATTCCCCTTTTGCAACAAGCCGGGTTCACTTAACGACCGGGTGGCTAACTTAACAACTTCAGGGATTCACTTCACAACGGCGGCCAGAAAGGTTGCCAAAATGGGGGCCAAGCTCACTGAACCAACGTCTCGCTTAGCAACATGAACTGGGCTCGCTTGTGGTCATAAAGTCGAGGACCTTTTTGCGTTTTCCTCTGCTCCTTTTTCCAATAATGGAGAAGAGAAATTTATCTTCCATCGGCAGAGGAGAAAATGGGTCGTGGCTGTGCTTAGCCAGCACAACAATACCCCAAAGTCCCATGTTGCTGGTACTACAAAGTCCATCTTGTGCGGCCCTCGTTGCCCAACTCTTATAATAAGAGTTGCAGAAGTTCTTAATCTTGTTTTTGTAGCCTTTCTGTCCTTTCCCAAGGAAGCAATTAGACGGCAAAAATCTTGGCACGGGCGGCAGCAAGTGGTTGTTTTTTTGTTTTAATTATCTTTTGATCTGGGTGTGATAGGCGAGTATGACGGCATTCTTCTCCCCCCCCTCTTTCTCCCCACCCACCCACCCACCCACGGAAAGGGGGAGCTGGGAAAAGAAAGAAAGAAGAGCCTGGAAAAGGGTGTGCTTGTGTTGTTGTTGTTGTTGTCTAAAAGGGCCTCCACCTCTCCAGCACAAGTTTGACTTGAAGTTAATGTGTAGTTTATGTGTAGTTAATGTGTACTTCCTTTCTGTTTCTTTTTCCTTCCTTCCTT